GGAGGCGGGAGAGAAGTAGTAAAAGCCTCTGCTAGTGCCTGGGTCAACCTGCCACTCCACGGAGCATGCGCAGCGCTGTTCACACATGCTCAGCAGGCCCTCTTAAGTCTACGAGGCTGCCTTAAGGGCAGGAGGATTCCCAAAAAGATTAGGAAACTTGGGGACGTTTCTGAACGTTGGAGAAGTCAGTGTCAAGGGAGAACTCCAGGAATATCTGCTTGCAGGGCTCACAAAAGCAGGTGTCCTCTACACCAAACCACGCCCATTTAAATACTTAGTGACAGATACTAAGACTAGGGCGGGGATTTTAGCCCATCATACATTAGCCTCCAAGAAGCAGGATGCCCGAAGAAAATGCTTTTAAAATAAATTAGTATATCTGTGGTCTCAAACGCCCCTCCCTTCCCGCGTGTCCTCAGGCTGTTTCTGCTGTTTGCCTTCATACTATTGATGGCACACAGTGTTTCTAGTGTTCATATACACACACACACCATTTATTGGACCCTACTTGTGGCGATGAAGGTGGAAGGTGCAGGGGTGGGCAAAAGTAGGTTTATGGTTGTATGTGAAACACAGAGTTTATTCTTGTAATATTATTTATTAATTATTGTATTATTTTTCATGTGAACAATTATAAACCTACTTTTGCCCACCCCTGTATAAAAGATAATCCCCCCGGCTATACTGCTTTGCTATTCGAAGCCACACTTTACTAGGTGCTAGCAACATAACTGAGATAATACACAGTATTATACACGGTATTATACATCATACACGGTAGATGATCAAGATCCTTCTCATCAAAACACTTCAGAACCCAAAGTAGAGTTATTCTACCTTTCACACTTCGAAGAGACTTAAAAGAGCAACTGTAATAGTTACTAAGCTGACTCAGTACCTTGGAGAGGTTTCTAATGTTAGACGTACAACACAGCATCTCCTACCCCTTACTACACTTAAGGTTATTGTGTTGTGTTCCAGGAAAACAATGAACTATGCCCTCAATTTATCTTGCCATCTGGATTCCGATGGACCACAAAGATTGGCACTCTGAATTGCAAAAAAGGATCAATAATAGTGCTTTCCCAGCTACTCTGCTTTAAAATCCCAGGGAGAAAGTTTTATGAATATGATACTGTAAAAGTGAAAACTTCGAAAATAGTGGATGGATGGGGCTATAAACAATGAACATATGTGATTGTGTGTGCATGCATGCATGAAGTGTTTGGATGAAATGATAGTGTTCTTAACTAAGGCCAACCTTTTTGAGCACTTGATTGCATCCCTTCTTGGCTATTCTAAGGCTTTGTCCTACAATTCCACCCCCTTCTCTTTCACAGCAACTATTTTCCTCCCTCTACTGGACTTCTCCCATCAGCAAAAAGCATGCTGTTACTGACTTCAACTTGCTGGACCACACATTAGCATTTGGTGCAGCTCATGATTTGCTCTTTCTTGTTCATTTTCCTCCTACATCATTGGCCATTTCTTCTCAGTGTCCTTTACTGGATCACTCCTCATCTTCCCAATCTCTAAAAGTTGTTAACTTCAGAGCTCAGTTCTCCACCTCTGTCTCCCCCAACATCCATATGGGATATTCCTATATCCCATTCAGTTCTACTGCTTTAAATTCCATGTGTATGCTGAAGACTCTCAGTTTTTATCTTCAACTACAAACTCATGAAACCAATACTTATACATGCAACTTGCCTATTCTACTTGGATATTGGTAGGTATCTCAAGCTTAACCTAGTCAAAACTGAATTACTGATTCGACCCCAACCACTTGATCCTCACTCAGACTTCTCCAGGGAAATTAATGACCTCTGTCACCTACCTAGTTTACTGCTCAAATGTCACTTCAAAGTCCTTCTATAACCATCCTTTCTAAAACACCACCCTCATAAGTCTCTAGCCTTATCCTGCTTTTCCTTCATAACACCAATCAACATGTGGTTATGATATATTTTTTATTCCCCACAGGACCTTGCATAAAGCCCAGAACATTCATTTCTAAATTAATAAGTTTGTTCTTTGCTATTGTTTTGTGCCTTTGATAAACATACCACATCACCTATATTAAGAAACGGTGAATGTATTACTTTGCTTCTATATAAAATATAATGTTTATACATATTCATTCATTCAGCATTCTCCTTAACATATAAACATGCACCACATAGCTCTCATTTTAAAAAATAATCATTAAAACCCCTTCCTCAACACAATGGTTTTAATAGACTCTTGTTTCTCAAATGTTTCAATCAGTTAACAAGTTGTTTTACTTTTATCTCAAATATTTTTTTAAATGTCTGCTCCATCCCCATGGTCACTGCCTCAGTTCACCTCATACATTTCCTTGAACAAATGATAATAATGATACATCTTAACTGGTCATCTGACCTAAATTTATACACACTCTCTCTCTTTCTTATCTGGCTGCCCAGTGATCAAAATTCTACAATGATTTTCTATAATTTCCAGTAAAATATCCAAACTCCTTAGCTCTGAATGAAAATGCTTTCATAATCTGGCCTCTGACTGTCTTTCTAGCTTCATTTACTACCTCATATTCCAGTCAAATATTTGCACATGTTATTGTCTCTTTCCTATCCTAGTCTCCTGAGAGAACTTATTCTTAGTAGCAATCAATACTAACAACTATTATTTACTGAAAATCCACTATGTTCCAGGCATATGCTCTTCATGAAATCATTTAGCTTTCATAACAATTTGTAAAAAATTATATTATCTGTATTTTACAGACAGATAAGGAACCTAAACCTAAAAAAGTTTCAGTGGCTTTTTTCCAAGACCTCACAGAAAAACTAGAATCAAAACTAGATCTGTTTGGATGCCAAATGTTCTACGTAACTCTGATACTCTATGAAGTCTCTCTGATTTTGCCCCCCACTGCATACCCACATTTCACTCATCTCTGGGGAAATTAGTCACCCATTCCTTTGTACTTCGATAATATCTTTTCCATATCCTTATTTCAGCATATCTTTATCTTTCTTTACCAGCAAACTTTGAGTTTTTTATATGAATGAATTAACTTATTAAGCTCTGCATTCACAGCGTACGGCTAGTGCTCAATAAATATATTAGATGGACAAACAACACTTCTCTACTCTAGTCAGGTACTGTGTTAAAGCTGATATTAAAATGTATCTCAGCCAGCGTGGCTCAGGGGTTGAGCGTAGACCTGTGATCCAGAAGATCAGGGTTTGATCCCCTATCGGGACACATGCCAGGGTTATGGGCTTGATCCCCATAGTGGGGTCCAGGAGGCAGCCGATAGATGACTCTCTCATCATTGATGTTTCTATCTCTCTCTCCCTCTCCCTTCCTCTCTGAAATCAATAAAAACATTTTTTTGAAAAGTTGATATTAAAATGTACAGCAGTACTTAACTCTTCAGAGTTTAATGCTTAATTGTTCTGTGTTGACTCCCTATATCAAAGGCATTGTTTAATTTTAAGTTACTAGTAACCATGGTATACTGGATCTAATTTCTACTAGCCAAGAAGGCCATTGGATTATTGGTGAAAAACATAGTGACTTTATTTTTAACACACAGGTAGGTATTAGGGAATGCTTGAGCTTCTCAGTCTTTGGCAAACTATACACAACAGAGATTGTTGCCTTCTTTTCAGGCTTCAGGAAATTGTTCACCTAAAGTTTTTTACATACCTGTATATCTCTGGATTTCCAATTATTGTAGCACTGCATTAAAAATTACACAATATTTGGCAATATTTTGGTGGTTCTGGAACTAGAATGCACTATATCTAGTTTCTAAATAATATATATTGTTCATAATGCAAGATGCTAAGATGGGCTCTACCACTATCAGAACATGTTTTCTGAGTAT